CTGCCCCTCGGCGGGTGTCCTCTGAGGCTTTGCTCCCCATCTCCCTGGTCTGCTGGTCAGACCAGGGAGACGGGGAACAAAGCCGCGGAGGACGCCCGCAGCGGGACAGCCCAGGCTTTGCTGCCCAGGCCGCTGTGGGCAGCCTCAGAGGCTTTGCTCCCCATCTTCCTGGTCTGACCAGCAGACCAGGGAGACGTGGAGCAGCTTTTCTCACCCCGGAGGACGCAGGCGGCGGGACCGCGGCTCATCTGGGCGTCCCGCCACTCCCGTCCTCCGGGGCGAGAAAAGTCCCGTTTGTAACTGCGGATCCGACATAAGTCAGATCCGCGTAACTCGGGGACTGCCTGTATAGGGAAACATCCAACATTCCTCACAACGATACAATCACTTCCTGTCCCAAATATCTATAAGGCAATGGATGACACTCAATATAGTTACGTCCAACCTATGACCAAACTCATACATTTCATCTTTACCTGAAGCAATATGACATTCTACAAATACTTTATTCAAATCATGGGAACACCCTTGGGCACTATGATGGCTCCTCAATGTGTCATCCTCTACATGGGCCACTTTGAATAAGAATTTCTGGACTAATGCACCACAAAAGCAACTGATGATACTGTCATCCTCTGGACAAATGACCTCAATGCCATCATAAATTTCTACCACCACTCATCCATCAAACTCCATCTAAAACTCCAGCACCAGTTTCCTAGACACTATGACCAGGTTAGACAATGGCACCCATAGACAATGATATACAAGAAACTCACAGATTACCACACCGACCTTCAGCAAGCCAATCACCAACCCAAACACATCAAGAAATCTGTTATCTACAGGCATCCCCTCCCCCCCCCGCCACACACAGAATACATACCTTAATGCACGTTCAACTGCCTTCACCAAATAAAAAACATTCCACCAAAGAAATAGATCATATCATGGAATCAGTTTCCCAAATAACCTGAGAAAACCTGCTTCAATACAGTAAAAAACTCTTGAAGTGCACATCCCTAGTTGTCACATACCACCCCAGCATGGAACTTATATTGGGTATTATTGAACAGTTAAAACTCATGCTCAAAGGAATCCACATGCTGAGTAGTCTTTCCAAAGGCACTTTCTTGGCTTTTAAACAGTGCCCAAGTTCATCATCAGAAGCAAGCTTCCCACTGCCAGTACCCACGAATTCGAAGCAGAACTGGACCCTTCCAGGAGAGATTCAAAACCCACAGACTTATCTACAGTGCTACAATGAATAAACCTCCCATGTCAAACACAGCTTCTTAAGATTCATGGTTCCTATATGTGCCTACCACAGCATGTGGTGTACAGTGCACTGGATAGAAGTACACCCCAGCAACACCTCTACTTTCACCCACTTTCTTTCAAGTGAACTCACACAAAAAGCAATGAAAGAAAAAAAACCCTATCATATCAGCTATAAGCAAGCTTTTTTCACAGTGTGATCACTCCATGTCTGACCTCAGTCATCCTCCTTGAAGGAAACCTGCATAACTCCTTCAATGTGAGAGCCAGAAAACTTAAATTCATAACTTGCTAGACAACAAAAATTATGGACTTAAGACATTGGATGTGTGGCTTATTACAAACCATCTGTAACCCAGTATCTTCCCCAACTCCTCCTTCCTCTGACTGCAAAGAGGTTAACAAGACACATCACCTTGAATTCTCTCTCAGAATGGTAGTTTACCACTTATGCTAATCTATCTGTTCCACCTAGTATTTAGCTGTGACACTAAGTAACTTTCCCAGACCTGAAGAAGAGCTCTGTGTAGCTCAAAAGCTTATCTCTCACCAACAGCAACTGGTCCAGTAAAATATATTACCCCATGCACCGTGTCTAAGAATTTTTAGCAGCATGAAGTTATTCTGGATTTACAACCAAGAACAGAATTGCACTCTGGGTGTTGCTCTCTCTCAAACATACCAGAATTCCTCAACTCAATTTATCCTGGGCTGAATCAAAGACCATTGAACAAATGGAAGTTTTTACATTTAACACAATGGGCATTGGGTCAAACTCCAAGTTATCTGTGCTAAAGTGACTATGCAAATAATATTCTTCTATTAACAGACATGCTAATGATTGTGTTAAGCCTCTAAGTCCACCTAGTGCATGTTAATTGGTGAATTAATTGGTTCTTAATGTCTTGTACATGTACTCTCTCAGGTGAGGAGAATGCAGTTCCAAGCTGACGTGGAAAAATGGATTAATAGGACAAGAAGAACCCTCATTTTTCAATTTTAGTCTTGAACACTAGAAGACAACAAGTTTATATATATTGCTGGTAAATATTAATTGAAGATACTCGTTTCATTTTATGGGGTGCTTCTGTTTCTTGTTCTTTCACTGCTTCTTAAAACTTCTCAAATAAGGAGGTCTCCTTTGTCTATACATTACCTCAATCAAAAATCCCTACTCTAGCACCAGGCTTGAATGAACATGAGCAGAGAGATAGGGAAAAGGCAGCCTAGACAGACAGAAAATGGACTGGTGGCAGAAACAGAGATAAGGGGGATCAGAATGAATTGAGGATCAGCTATAGTCCCTGTTACATCCATTTACTGAATATTTATCTTCTCACACCCCTTATGTGGCTCTCGTTCTGGATCACACAATGTCCCAACAATGAAGTTGACATTTTTTTAAAGAAATCAAAATAATTTAAATCCACAGAAATTAATTACAATTCTATACACGCTGGCACTTCAGCAAAGTGAAAATGTTTGCTTCCAAAATGCCTTTATGATGCAGGGTAGCTATGGCAATGAAAATTAGTAATTGGGGTTTAGTAACTGAAACTGGTTAAGTTTTTTTCCCCCCAACTCTAGTGGCTCTTTGTAAAAAAAAAAAAGTTTTTTTTTTTTTTTTTTTAAAGAGTGCCATAGGGCTGCAATGGTATACAGAGTTCCCTCCATATGCTTCTATTAGAGGATGATTCCCTAAATAGGAGTCCATTACAGGTATTAATAAACTCTACGAAGTCCAGTAATCAAAACAATTTTATAATAGAGAATGAAGAAAGCTTTACTAAGTGCCCAATGATGGGCTTTTGGGTATAATGTCTGACCCAATTTAAAATTATTAGACTTTGGGGGAGGTATTCTTCACAGATATATTTTAAAAAACAATCTAGAATATGCAGCAAGAGCCATAATATTCTGTCATTGTTACTGGCAGTTTCACCGGAGTTAGTTAGAACTGCTAATAAAGCTTGATGAGATGAAAGTTTCAATCCTATTTCCATTGTTCTCAAAACAATAGCCCAGACAGACAGACTCCATTCTGAAACATATCTTTATACCAGATATACACCTCTAAAATTGAGAGCAGAATTTGACCTATTGAATTTTTTATGCCAATTGTATTCATATAAGACAAGCCATTTGCAACTATTACTAGCCAGTTACTCTTCCAACCACAAAATAAAATCCAGTAAACCTTTAAAGGACCAGGGTTCCAGGAAAAATAATTAGTACTTCTAATTAGCATATTAGTTTCCAGAACAATTGAATGCAACACTGCAAAAACAATTCATCCCACTTAATCTCTATAGGCCCTTACAACACACAAAAAAACAAAGAAAAAAACCTCACTATTCCATTTCACTCTAGAAAACATATACTGTCAATTTTCTTCATCCGATTTTAATGCTTGCCTTTCAACATAGCCACCATACCATTTTTATAAACATTCAGCATACAATGATTATGGGCTAGCATCGTAACAGTAAATAGAATTTGGCCTAAGGTATTAAGCCTGTAACTTTTCATTACTCCAGGTCCTGGTTTTAACATTTGATACAAGCATGAGTGACATTTTTCCATGTCTGTGGCATCACTTCTATAACACAACTTAAAAATGCAAAGTTAAGACTACTACATTTTCACAGAGCACATTATTACTATGAAAGCTAGATGCAATGTGTGTCCCTGCTGGCTTTACATTTCTCAACATACAATAGTATGAAATCTGGCATTTCACCTACTCAGAAACACCTCTTTGAATAGATAAAAAGGGTTTAGCCATCTGTAGAAAGTGGCCAGATTTTCCAAGTGTTTTGCACCCAGTAGCTATAGTTGTACTCAGTGAGAACTGCTGGCTGCTGAGAACTTCTGGAAATCTGGTACTGAAGACACCTATGAAGGTCCTTATTATAATTATTCATATTAGTAATGTACAAGGAATCCCTTTGAATGAAAAGAACTGAACTCCTTGCATGAGTAAGTGCAAACATGAATAAGGGATCCAGTACTCAAGCTCTGAGTGGCGGTGCGCTGTGTGATCTGACCAATAGTTTCTGAATTAGGAAATCATAAATAACCACTTGCAAACTCGGCATGATGTAGCAATGAGCAAGAATTGAAAGACACAGTTTCTACAAGTGAGTTTTTAATTGAATTCTTTTGGTTTCCATGATTATGGAGAAACTGACATTTATGGGTGAAAGTTTTGAGCTATAAGAGAATTTTACATTCTTGCATACCAATATCCAAGCACTTCTCATGCACATAATACTAACATAGTGGAATGGACCAGATTGTATTAGAGCTGATTGCAAAGTTTTCAATTAGACAATTTCCTGTAAAAATAGGCCTATCAGAATGAAAAACATGCAGAGAAAAAAGTTATTTCAAAATAATCTGTCCTAAATAGAAAAAAAAAGTTGAAAAAACTTCCGAAGTTGCCAAAACATCTTGTTTCAACATTTTAAAAATAAATAGTTGTTTTCTCTTTCTAAATAACTTTCCAGAATTTAAGCTAGCCATAGGAAATACTATGCTGCTCCCGTTCGGGCAAAAGTTCTTTTGAGCAAAAGGGCCAGTGTAGACAGCTCAGATTTGTTTTCCGTTAAAAGCATTTGCAGAAAAGCGCGTCTAGATTGGCCACGGATGCTTTTGCGCAAAAGTGCTTTTGCAGAAAAGCGTCCATGCCAATCTAGACGCTCTTTTCTGCAAATGCTTTTAACGGAAAACTTTTCCGTTAAAAGCATTTGCGGGAAATCATGCCAGTCTAGACGTAGCCTTTAAGTGTAAGCAGAGTCAGGATAAGCTCTACCCTAACATCTGGGGGTGAACTGTGACTAGTGGTGCAAAGAGACTTCAGGGGCTGATCTCATTTGCATAGATACACCCAATTTGCATAGACACACCCACCCCGCCTAGTGGGTGCTCACAGCAGCCCAAATGGTCACTTTGGCCATTGTGGGATCCCCAGTCTCTCTGTTATTGAGGCAGGGGGGATAAAAGTGTTGTTACCTTGATTATGTGAATCTAGGACAACAGCATGGTGGAACTGCTTATGACAGAGGGATTCGCCATAAACTAAGTAGCAGTCGCTAGACAAGGTTCCAAACCCAGTCAAGTTGAGAGATGCTGGGGACAGATTTTTGTACCTGGTGGTAGGGCCCTGTCTGAGGGCCTAAACAACTCTGATTGCACCCCCTCCTCTCTCCACTGTGGAATATCAGAACTAATTTGGATTCCATTAGGAGTCTAGTTGTGAGCTGCTGAGTTGACTTCACTGTGGGCCAGTGGAGCACTAGCACTGAGGCTCCTCTATTATGAGATGAACTTGCTGAAGGGCTGAAATCACTGTTGCTGAGGGGCGCCTGGTGCTATGTTGCTGAGCTACTAGCAGAGCAGCTTTCAGGGACAACCAGCAAAGCGCAGGCGGATAGCAGTGTGGTTTGCGGGGATGACCAGTGGGTGCAGGCTGATAGCAGAGTGGTTTGCGGGGGCGACTGGCGGGTGCAGGCGGCCAGCAGAACAGCTGGTGGGGATGACCTGTGGCTGGTAGGAGCAGCTGCAGACAACCAGTGAAACAGCTGCAGGAGCAACCAGCTGGCGGCCAGGGGCGTGGACCGAGACGGCTAGTGGAGCCAGACAGTTTGTGGGACAGCTGAGGCAGCTCACTGGACAACAGGTGGAGTGTGGTGGAGTAACTCGCGTTGACAGTGGCAGCAGAACCCTATGGAGAGGCGGAGCCATTGGCGGATCACGTAAGGTGTATCAATCCTCGCCTCTTCCAGGTTGGGATGGTAAAACACTGCCAAGTGAACTTTTGAACCCTAGGGCGGCACCGACCCGGGGCAGAGACTTTTGGGGTGTTGGACTTTAGGACTTTGGGTGATTTTTGGGTTTCTGAACTTAAGAGACTCTTGGAGTGTTGGACTTTTGGGACTTTGGGTGATTTGTGGCTGGGGGGTGGGTCTTTGCTCATGTTTAGTCTATGAATCCGAGTTGTGGTGTTTTCCCAAGTTAATGCTGATGTCGGTAACTTCATGTTATTAAAGGTTTGCTGCTATACTGAGGCTCTGTGCTTGCGAAAGGAGAAGAATTGCCTCTTTGAGGCACCCAGAGGTGTATGTAAGATTTCCCAGGTCACTGGGTGGGGGCTCGAGCCGGTGTTGTATTACCTTGTTGGGAGGAGACCCCTAGATACTGAACCGGCCCTTGCTGCTATTAACTCAGCCTGGCAGAAGGGTTACATAAGTTTCCTTCATCTCATTTTAACCCTTACCTTTCAACACAGCCATCATACAATTTCTATAAATACTCCACATACAATTGATTAGAGGCTAGCACTGTAATTCAAAACAGGATTTGGCCTAAGATCACACCTCTCTATGCTTTCATCTTGCTACATGGATGTTGATGTTCTAAATTAAGTTATGCAGAAGGATCTCCCTTACTGTTTGCATAGTTACGTATCAAGTGTGTTTCCGACAACAGATGTTCACTCAGTGTCTCATATTTACACTTCTTTTCCCTAAGGAATCTCGCCTTATAGTTTTCCTGCTGTTTTCTTTCAGAGACACTGTTACTTACTGTAACTCTTACTCTTTGAGATAGTAATTCCATGTAGGTGTGTGGGTACCCAGTGCATCAGAGTCAGACAACTTTGCCTAGCATCACCCATTGAGATGGCTGTCACATGCACTGGCCTTAGCCACCATCCAGATAAGCAGAGCCCTGCACAGATACAACTTTTTTGATATCTGCAGATAGAAATTGGTATCTGTGATCGCTAGGCTCTACTCCCAGGAACTGCAGCGACAAAGGAGAAGAAAGTGGGACTACCACTCCCAGGAGCCAGCAGCCTATACTGGCAGCACCTGCAAGCCATGTGGCTGTACCATCACCAGCCCTTTCTTACAAATGCACCTAACAGGGATTGCACAGTCCTGCTGGGAGCAGGACTGGGGACAGTACAGTCATATGGTCAAGAGGAGCTGCCATTGAAGGGTCCTGGCTCCTAAGAGCAGCGATTTAACATTCTTCTCCCTTGGCCTTTGCAGTTCCTGGGTAAAGAACCCAGTGGTTCAGTGGATACCAATTTCTATCCACAAATGGAAATTTATTTCTATGCAGGGCTCTACTTATAAGAATGGTGCCTAGCTGTACCTACAGATGCACAGGTAACTAAAGCATCTGGCATCCCACAGGAGCAAAACCTGGCCAACTGCTTCTAGCTTGTGGGTCATTTATTACCCACCCCCGATGTAACAGGTACTCCTAGAACAGGTAAACCTAGGCCAATAACCACATTGAAATCTGCTTCCAATAGGCCAAATAGTGGGAAAACACCCACCCACTGAAGAGATCTAAGGAACAGGACTTGTCGGATCACCTCCCAGAATTGTTCCTCTTCTACATCTAACCAAGTGGCACCTGTGCTGTGAGATGCATGCATCACCATCAGGATTTTGCCAGGTCAGGAGGTTGAAATGAAGAGGAAGGCAAATGGGAGATCAGAAAGAACCAGCATTGTCTCAGTCATGCTGGGGCATGAAGAATGAACTTAGCATTATCCAGTGCACACTTGAGAATGACTCTAAGGGAGGGGGCACAGGGATGATTGTGACCAGAGGCAATGCACACAGCAGTTCCAACTCCAAGCTTAGCTGAAAAGCATTGTGGAGGCAGGAAAAGGAAATAAGGGAATTTGTGTGCAGCCATCTTGGTCTTGTTAACAAGAGAGCAAGAATCAGGCTAAGTCTGTGGCCTGACAACGTGAGATCTGTAATTAGATGCTGCCTTTGCCTCTCGCCTCCACACAGAGATAAGAATAGAATGCTGACTCTTGCAGGGTCCTTGAGATAAGGAGCATCTGGGTGGAACTAAAATAATTGTTAGCCATTGGTGTTTGTAATGGGAAGGAGACTAATTGTTATTGTTATTATATCTAATGGACAGTATATAAACTGCTTCATAATTGCTTGTATTCGAAGATCTGCCCCGTCCGCGAACCAGTTTTTTCCTTGCTGCAGCTCGTAATAAAACTGCCTCTGGCTACTAGTTGCTTACAAACGCAGAGTGAAGACAATGTTTTCTTCCACAATTTGGCGCTGTGACTCGGATGGCAACACCCAATTGAAGACAGTGACAGCGGCTGCGGACCGTCCCCCTTCATCCTCAGGGCACCAAACGAGAGGTAAGAGACCTTTTGAAATCTCTACTGGGGTGTGGAGGAGGACTGCCTGTAGGGTCGTCTGCTTCTTGTGGGCTCACGCCGTCTGAACTTCTTGAATCTGCAACAAGGTCAGATGCAAAGCAGTTCCGGGGAGGTTGTTTTGTAACCCCCGAGTAGGCCAAAGTTTATGCAGTGCTGGGGAACTGCTGTGATATTGGTGGTGCCACCCCGGGTACGGAAAGAAAATTGTATTGCATCTGGACATAAGGCACCTAGGTTTATGCAGTGCTGGGAACTGCTGTGGTTCTGGGGGAAACGTTGTTTGCCGCCCCAAATATGGACGAGGTCCATAAAGAGAGATGCACCTAAAAGTGGGAAAATTTCTGTGTGAAAAGCATGCTGAGTGTGAATGTAATGAGTAGAGTATGAATGCCGCTGCCCAGGTCTCTGAGAAGTAAGCTGATTCCAGCTGCACCAGGGCTCTCCCACGAGGGAGTTCTGAATGCGGGGGGGGAGGTCAGCCGAACCTTGAGACCCAGCGGATATGCGAGAGAGTGGCGACTCCCCTTATTTCATGAGCTGCTGATAAGGTCTGACACTCTAGACCCAGCAGACCCCTTCTTTGAAGTGTGTAGATTTAGTTTAGTAACCCTAAGCCATTGAATGGATGGGGAGTGGACAGGATACTCCCCTGAATGACTAAAACGGATGGAGATCACACTAAGCATACCCCCAAACCGCCAAAAGGCACCCCTGAATATTACATGTATGTGCATCATGGTCCAAGGACCTGTAAGCATTTGACAGATTGACAGAGAAAGAAATTAAACCTCTGAGGGATGAGATTGAAGCTCAGAAAAGCAAAAAATCCTCCCTACAGTGAGAAATGTAACTTACAAGTAGCAGTGCCTCTGTGCCAAAAGAATGCACTAGGAGTGAGAGGAAGGGATTTCTCAGCTGGCAAACCTGTATCAATTGTGCCACCTCTCCCAAGCTTCGGGGGGAATTTGGCCCAACATTACCCCCTTTACTCCTCTCTATGCCCAGCCCCAAATGGGCTATATATCATTATATAGAGGAGGCACGAAAGTTAACTGAAAAGGATCAGCTCTTTCCTATGGAAACAAATCTGCCCCATCCAAAGCAAAACACCAAGTTTTGGAATAGACTTAACAGCTTGTGGGAAGTATTCCTCCAAATTTTCAAGGGAGGAATGCCTGCCGACCATCAAGCCATATTGGCCCTAGGCATTTTGGTTGGAAACATATACACAGAACACTACGCAGGAGTAGGAAAGGGCTGCCAAGCAACTTTAGGAGATTCTCAAGCCCTTGTTAGCAAATAGATTACTACAGCCTTTCCAGCTGGAATCGCAGGCAACCCAAGGATGTTTCACAATACACGAGTGAGGGCCGTCCAGAAAAAAAAATAAACAGTTAAAACCTTTCCCTCACATGCCGTTATAATTGGATTGAGGGAGTAACCTAAAGGCCACCCAAAGTCAACCGGTAGAAATTGAATTTGAAGATGTAATTACTAGATCTAAATTTGCCCTAACAAGGAGACACATGCTGCAACATAAATCTCCTTACAGATCATGGGCGAGTGATCCACCCCAGAGTCAGCAGCATAGATCAACTGCTGCAGCATGGATGTTATGAAAACCCTAAACTGAGAAGTTTAAAATTAGTAATAGCTGATTGCAATAATACACATTCGGATTTACCTACTGAAAAGAATCAGGTGGCTAATGGGAAAGCCCATCCTCCTTACCAAATTAATACTGGACAAACTTGTGTCATTGAAAAAAGGCATTTAGCAGGAATCAGGATGGATCATAAGAAAGAAAACACATGTGAAAGGGGAAGGCAAAAGGTTTGGAGCTCTATGGGTATAGTGGAAGGAATAAGGAAAGTAGGAATACAGTCATTGGAAAGTTAAATTAATAGGAATTAGGAAACTTTTATGAGGGACAAAGCAAGTGATTAAAGGGTATGCAAAGGTAAGAAGTGACTCCGTGGGAGAGTGGAAAGAATTAAGCAATTGTCGTAATGTGTGAGAAGGAAACCTGCTTTAAAAATGACTCCTTGTTTCTTGCAGCCTCTTTCAATAATCCAGACAAAGAAACAATCAAATTTAACTATTTGGCTACAGACACTTTTGTTAAATCTGCAAAAGGAAAATAAGGGATTCTATTGACACTTAACTGGTTAACTGTATAACTTCTGTAAATTTGCACACCAACCATAAAAGTGGTTTGGCCAGAGATGATAAGAAATCTGTAAGAAACAACACGGGTGAGTGGGACATCAGCATATTTAAGTAAAGATGCCCACAACAATGAGGAAACTAGTAACCTCACCATTGCAATAACAGCTACTTGCCCTGCTACTCATTGGTGCCTGATGCTTATAAGGCATCAAGAATCATGGAATTGCATGGGTTCCTATTAACAATTAAACATCTATGAACCATGCTTGGTCCCATAAGAAAAACAGTGGTTCCAGTCAATGAAACCAGACTTCAGGTAACATACATAGAACAAATATACACTAATAGCGATGAGGAATACACTGCCTTGGGCCGTCCCTCATTCACACATAATTATTTTGTTTATTGTAACAACATGAACACTACGAGGACAAAGAATACACAGTCCTCTGAGTTAAAGTTTGTATGGAATATTGTGGGAAAGAAGCTAAACACTGACATCAGGCCACTGAAGTTGGACCTACTGACTCCCACTGGGGCTTACCACTTAAAGCCCAAACAAAGGTAACCCCTGAGGCATGGCTGTCATTTGTTAAACAATTGCCATTGCTAACTTGCCCTCATTTGGATATTATTAACCAGGTCCTTAAGGACAAAATAGAGCCTCCCAATTGTGCATCATGCCCTGAACAGACCCCTGTCCCAAAACCAGGACAACTGTCACTGGTCCTCACCTTGGTGATGTTCCACCCTGGTATAGACCAGATGTGTGTGAGACTGGCTAATCAAATTGGCAAGTGCCTAATTAGGCAACGACGGGGCTTAGCAGATACCATCGCAGATTGGTTTGGGCCTATAAACTCTGTCAGCAACACTGATGTCATAGCCCAGAAATTGTATAGAATCCAAGCTAGTAGATTCAGTAATATCCAGTGCCCGTGAAGGCCTAGACACCAGCCAAGCCAATCGATTGATCCTAAGTAGTTGAAGGATCTGTCCAGCTCTGTGTCCACTTCACTAGACCTAACCATATATTTGGACCAGAGACTAATTGGATTGCTAATTAATGGAACTAAATTAAAGAAATTAGAAGGCCAGTATTTAAGAATAGGGTAAGCTTTAGCCACTACCACCAGCCCTTATGGTGGTGAGTCCCCATCTCCCCCGGGCCTATCCATGAGAGTGGGGAAATAGAGAATCCATGAGGACCCAAAGACCCACCTGGACAGACCATAGTATAACCTTTTGTTTTTGGCCCCTCTGGGGATTCCTCACTCACAAGGTGTGTCTAAACTACATGGTTCCATCAATGGAGCCATGTAGATTAGGCTGATCGGCAGAGGGAAATGAAGCCACGATTTAAATAATCGCGGCTTCAATTAAATTTAAATGGCTGCCACGCTCTGCCAATCAGCTGGTGATCAGCTGTTTGTCGGCAGATCGGGGCAGTCTGGACGCTCCGCTGTTGACAAGGAAGCCTTTGTCGACCCCCTCCCCCCCCCGTTCAAGCCAGTTTTTCCCTTGCTGCAGCTCATAATAAAACTGCCTCTGGCTACTTGTTGCTTATAAACGCAGAGTGAGGACAATGTTTTCTTCCACAGCATCAATCAGGAAATTAGGACTGAAACCATCACAGAAGCAAAACTGTTGGCATTTCTTGTCACCTCTTGTGGCAAACAGGGTAATCATTAACATGACTCAATCCTCGTAAGAGGACAAACAGGATGCTGGGCTTCATAAAGCACTTGTAGATCAGGGAGAACTTTCCACTGAGATCAGGTGACTCTGGACCCCAGGTAAGCAATTAACTATGGGGACAACATTTTCCACAATGCAAAAGCATTGTGGCCATACAAGTTGTGCGGGCATCGTTCAGTGAATACGGGAACTGCTAAATCTCGATGTGATCTTGAAATTCCCACAGACATTATAGATTGCACAAAGCTCCATCAGGCTGATAAGCAGAGAACCTTCCTGATCACAACCTATTATGGAGGAATCAATGATAACAGTCCTGGTCAGTGGAGACAGAGTAAAAGGAATGCTCAGGTACACATTGTCCTGTGCCATCCACCCTTATAAGCAGTCCAGCATCTGTAGGGAATATTGGACCAGGCTGCCCAGGGGAGGTAGATTTATAGGAAAGGCTGAGTTCTGCCATCTCCAGAGGATCCAGTTTCTTGCCTAGAAATAAGCAGAAGTGCTGTCTCTTGGGGCCCCAGTGAACTCAGCTCTCTAATTTGGAAGCAATGTGGGCCTTCTGCTGTTCAGAGTGAGATGCACACTATTAAGTATAGCATAAATTGAACATGAGGGCAGTGTCTAGACTGGCCAGTTTTTCCGGAAAATCAGCTGCTTTTCCGGAAAAACTTGCCAGCTGTTTACACTGGCTGCTTGAATTTCTGCAAAAGCACTGACTTCCTACTGTATGAAATCAGTGCTTTTTGCAGAAATACTATGCTACTCCCGTTCAGGCAAAAGTCCTTTTGCACAAAGCTTTTGCGCAAAAGGGCCAGTGTAGACAACTGAGATTTGTTTTGAGCAAAAAAGCCCCGATTGCGAATATGGCGATCAGGGCTTTTTTGCGGAAAAGTGCATCTAGATTGGCCACGGACACTTTTCCGCAAAAAGTGCTTTTGCGGAAAAGCGTCCATACCAATCTAGACGCTCTTTTCCGAAAATGCTTTTAACGGAAAACTTTTCCATTAAAAGCATTTCTGGAAAATCATGCCAGTCTAGACGTAGCCGAGGGGATTTCTCTTGTGGATTTCCCTCAGCGTAACCAATCACCCGGGTATAGGAAGATATGGATTCCATTCTTCCTGAAGTTCACTGTTCAATGTTACTCTGAAACAGGCCAAGGCACAGGACTGCAGGGACTAAAGAGTATACCAAGGAGGTGACTTGGTTTACAGGTAAGGTACTAGTGGCCAGGAGGCACCAGGCCAAGAGCCCCAGGAATGTGCCAATCTCAGTACCGACGGTGATCCAACTTCTCCCTCTGGTGCCCATTGGCTGATGATGAAGGAAACTGAGAACTTAACCTGAATCCAGAGAAATCTTAGAAGTTGCCCAGTGACAACAAGAGATCCAGTCCCAAATTGTTGACCAGCCCTATTCTCTACTTTCTCACCTGCCAATGTGAGAGATACACCATTGGGACATGAGATATAATACATTGTCAAAGAATGTGGATCACCAAAGAGTTGTTGCACATCCAGATACAGCTGGCTTCTTGAATATCACCCATTTTTAAGGCTGGATCCCCACTGTGTCAGTAAAACAATTCTCTAATCTATTATGTGCCCCCAGCCACTCCCCTTGGTCATTCCCAGGCTGGGTTGCCTCCATTAATTCAATTCTATTTTCTCTCTCTCATCCAAACACACCCCTCCTGCCCCACTGCAAAAAGGTCTCACCAACTTCTCCCCTCAGTGAAGTCCTAGCTGCTCCTTCTTCTCCCCTCTCCTCTATGGAGCAGACAAGGGGTCCCAGAGCTGCTGCTGCAGTTACCTGACCCTCCTAGTCGGCAGCAGCTGTAGAACAAACCCTCTGCCCAAGCCCACCAGTCTCTTGGCAGGGTGCTTCTCCCAGAACATGGCTGTAGAGCTCCACAATGGGGGTTCACAAACACAATATAAGTTGCAGGCAGAAAGGAAGGGAGAGTCTTCACTGTCTGCAAACAAGCTGAACACCCCTGCCCAGCTAGCAGAACTGTCAATCAAGAAGGCACACACCCACAGCTAGCCTGTAAGCAGTAAAGAAAACAAACCCACTATAATGGAGCGAGGACAGAGAGAGAAGAGGAGACAGTTCTAGAATAGCAGAGGGGCTACAACTCCATGCCAGAAACTGGCAAGGAGACAAGACTGCAACTCCTGGAATTTGAGACTGCAACCCCTGATAGACGAAATTTTAGTGAAGAATTTGTGGACTGGTCTATTTATAGGTACATTGAAGGGGACCAGTTAGGAGCAAACAGGGACCTATTCCCAGCCTCCCCAAGAGAAGCAGAGATGTTTAAAGGCAGTGCTCTGTTGTGTAATGCATGAAATTTGTGCATAACTCCCATTTACTTAAAAAGGAAACTGCTTTCACCAACTCACTGTGCATTGAAAGGAGAGTACAATGGTATTTCATTCTATACAAAAGACTCCTTTGGGGAAATAGTTTTTCATTGTCTAACTTCGACTGTGTGCATTAGCTTTGGCTCTATTCCCCTTCGTCACCCCACCCACACACTCAGTGGTTTCCTTCTCATATTACAAAAGCACTGTTGCCATTTACTAAAAATCACATAGATATCCTTGTTAAAAAATATAGGAAGAATTTTTCCATTCCTTGTTGTTTAAGCTATATTAAAAGGAATTTAGCTGCACCTTTAATGTTGATTTGATATGAACGGTAAGAGCTGAAGCAGGAGACTACAAATGTGTTATGGAGAGTCACAATAACTGTATAAGTTTATTTTTACAGGATTCAATATTTGCTTCCATAAATGTAGCAACACATATATGCATTGTGGACTGATTACTATTTGTCCTCTCTCCTTTATCGTTTTCAATCCCATACCTGCATGTGTTGTAACTGCTTTTATTTGATAGTCTATTAATATGTTCTAACAATATTAAAGTGTTGGGAAATGTAGACCTAATTTTTAAAAGGTTTAGGTAAGCAAATACAGGCATATGTGTGTGCCTACTGCCATGCATGTAAAAGGAATGGGTGTCCCTAGCTATTCATAATACCTGCACATATTCTTTAGATGAAAAGGGAGAAGTCACACACCTAAATAGTAGAAAACCAGGCACAGGATTTAATCAATTTACTACAGTTTATGAAGTTTCCCCATCTATTATTCTTGTTTTAGCAAGAGCAAGCACCAGTCTCAAACATTTATGGAAGCTTCATCTTTATGGTTATATGCTACCCATCAATACAAGGATAACATCTACCTGGGGAAGTCATTGATGAAACTTAAAATAGGTGATGAGTCCAATCAATTCTGTACAGGTTTTTCCAGATGTGACAAGTAGTTGCCTGGTGAGAGCACAATTGCTGGCCAGGATGCCGTACACTTTCCTTCCTCTGCTGCTGTTTCTTATCCTCTTGAGCAAGGTGATTCTGCTCAAAGTAAGCTGAAGTTTGATGTATGATGCAATGCCTTTGCAGGCTGTTGCCACACAGCTCTTCCCAGACTGTGGAATTCA